CCCCCCTCGCTCGCGGCCGAGAGGCAACTCCGGGGAGATCTTATCAAGATCGAGTGCGTGCGCTTCGTGACGTGCGTGCGCACGTGCGTGAGTGCGACCACACTCGTGTGGCTCACGCGTGCAAACGCACGATCGCGTGCGTGGGCTTGTGTGTGCGTGTGCGTGTCAGCGTGCGTGCGCGTGTATGCGCGCGTGTGCGGTTGCCGGCTAGCGTCTACGCGTCCGTGCGCGTGTACTCCCGCGTGCGTTTCGGGTGCCGTCCAATTGCCCATCGGTCGGAAGAAGTAGGTAGAAACATGGAGCAGGAAGGGGTTGGAAGTAGATTTGGGCTCCGTCCGCCCCCTGAGGAGGGCGGAAAAGGCGAAGCCACTCGATCAGTGAAGCAGGAAGGCGCGTTAAAGTAGGTTGGAATCTGGGACTCAAAAAAACCTCTCAACGACCAGTGCAGGAGGCGGAGGAGGAGGAGGAGGAGGAGGAGGAGGAGGAGGAGGCAGAGGAGGAGGAGGAGGAGGAAGGAGGAGGAGGAGGAGGAGGAGGAGGAAGGGTGGAGGAGGAGAGGAGGAGGAGGAGGAATGAAAGGAGGAGGAAGGAGAGGAGGAGGAGGAGGATGGAGAAGGAATGGAGGAGGGGGAAAGGCGGAGGAGGAGGAGGGGAGGAGGAGGAGGAGGAGGAGAGGAGGAGGAGGAGGAGGAAGGAGGAGGACGGAGGAGGAGGAGGAGGAGGAGGAGGAGGAGGGAATGTGCTCCTAAACAGTTGGCGACATTTGGGGGCCAAGTCGCAAGAGGGGCGATGGGCAGCGCGGCGAAGTACACAGGACCCAAAGGAAGACAGGCACAGAAAGTCTGGGGCCCTTCGGGCAGGATTGCGAGCTCTCAACCTCCTCCTCCTCCTCCTCCTCCTGCTCCTCCTGCTCCTCCTGCTCCTGCTCCTGCTCCTCCTCCTCCTCCTCCTCCTGATCCTCCTCCGCGAGGGGGGAGGCAGTGAGGATAACGAGAAGGGAGGCCGCTGGCGCCACTTGCGCCGCGCAGTGCCCAGGCCAGAGACAGGGGCGGATGAGGCGGAGGAGACAGGACGAGGAGGAGGTGGTGGAGGAGGAGGAGGAGCGAGGAGGAGGAAGAGCAGGAAGATAAGGAGGAGGAGGAGGAGGAGGAGGAGGAGGAGGAGGAGGAGGAGGAAGAGGAGGAGGAAGAGGAAGAGCAGGAAGAGTAGGAGGAGGAGGAGGACGAGGAGGAGGAGGAAAACAGGAGGAGGATGAGGAGGAGGAGCAGGAGGAGGACAAGACAGATGGGGACGAGGAAGAGAACTCTGAGATCCTGGCATTGCATCTTTTTGCAACGGGCGAGTCCGTTCAATTTCGGGCCCCGGCAGCCTCACGGATCGATCCGGCTCGAAGAATGGCGCGGAAAGAGGGGGCACGGTGCTCGGGGGGTGATTTTTCTGCGATGTTGCAATTGTGATTGCAACGTCGGACCTCGGGGAGGGAATACGAGGAAGACGAATAACAAAAAGAAAAGCAATAGTAACAAACGGCAGATGACGAGAAGTGGAGAAGGAAGAGGAGGAGGAGGAGGAGGGATGACGAGGAGGGAGGATGGCGAGACCAGGGCAGGAGGAGGACGAGGAGTTGGAGATGGTGTTCAGTCGTCATAGAGCCTGCGCACCCCTCGCTCCCGCGGGAGGAACAAGCGGGCTGCAGGCGGCAGGCTCTCCCCTGCGCCCGACGAGCACAGGGAAGGCCACGTCCAGAGGAGGCCCCAGTGAGAGTCCCGAAGGGGAGATGGGACCCAAGACCTGGGGGAGGGCCCCGAAGGGGAGATGGGGCGAGGAATTGGCCTGCCTCCTCAGGGGCAGGCCACGGACAGGAAGCAGGGAGCAGCACCGCGGGGCCCTCGAGCGAGCGAGGGGCCAAGGAGAGCGAGAGAGGGGTGGCCGAGTGAGTCGATCTCGTGGAGTTCCCTGACGCCCTAACGACCGCTCACCGCTGTGGTGCTGGAGCTCCGAGTGGGGAGGGGGTCGGGGAGGGGGAGCTGGAGGGGGATGCTTGAGGGGGAATGGGATGGGGGAAGAGGCGGAGGAGTCTAGAACGGGAAGAGGGATAGGGAGAGGGGAACGAAGAGGAGGACGAGGGGGAGGAGGAGGAAGAGGAGGGGGAGGAGGAGGAAGAGGAGGAGGAGGAGGAAGAGGAGGAGGAAGAAGAGGGGGGGAAGGAGGAGGGGGAGGAGGGGGAAGGAGGAGGAATGCAGAGGACGAGAAAGAGCGACACAGGAGGGCCGGGAGGCGGGAGCGTGGGCCCCAACGCCCAGCCCCAAGACGAGCAGCAGAAGCATGAGGAGACGGGTGACTTGGCATGCGGTCTTAGAGTGTCCATTTGGAGGAAATTGCAGTGTAGAATGGAGCGGCGAAAAGAAAATAGTTTCACGCGAGATGACGTAGCGACCTTAAGCGGCGGCTTACGCGGGCCGCTGGCGCAGCGCGCCACATTCGAGACGAGGGCGCTTACGCGCGACTTTACGCGGGCAACTTACGCGCCAATGTCGGCGCAGACGGCCCCGTTTTATGGCGTCGCTCGCTTGGCGGTGCGCACAAGGGGGTAGGGGGAGGGGGAGATTTCTGAGAAGCAGGCTGCGCCGTGAAAGGCGCTGGCATTACAATTATAGATGAGGCCCGCGTCTTCTAAGAAACGATGTGTTTCTAAGCTGCCTCCCCCCTCCCCCTGCCAACACAAGAGGGAGAAAGGGGTTAGGAGGGGGAGACGGGAGCACGCTGGACATGGCCGGAAGAGGCCATGTTCGGCAAGATCAGCACCAAGGAGATACCAGCTAGCATGAAGAAACCGTGCCTGGTGCAAAAAGGCTATTGGCTCTCCAAGGGCCCCAGGACGGTCCAACCGCGAGCCCTACGGTCGGGAGCTTCTGCTTAGCGTGTCGCGGCGGCGGCCCCCGCGATAGGCCATGCCCTGCGAGCGAATAGCGCGTCGCTCCGCTCCGCTGGGCGGGAGGCTGGGAAATGCACGAGGCGTCGACGCCTGAGACTGGGGACGTGGACAGCGTGTCGCGCCGCAGCGTGGTGGGCCAGAGCAGGCGCCGCGACGCGCTGAGCCAAAATTCCTAACCGTAGCCTTTCCCCAGATACCGCCCCGCTTTGCTGGAGGTCCCCTGGGGGCCCAGCGAGGGCCCCCGAAGGCCGAGAACGGCCAACCACCTGCCACTTCCTGCTTCTGTCACGGCGCGAGGGTGTCTCCTGGGCCTCCCCCGCGGCGGAGGCAAACGAGGGGGGGCACAAACCCAGAGACGGGCGGCACTGCGCGCCTTCGCCAGGGGACATCGTTGAAGGCATGGGTCGGTCAGAGCCCCCGGACACGTCTTTCCGGATGCGGAGGGAGCCTCCCCCGGCCGCTGTGAGGATCACCCCGGACCACCAGACCAGGAGGTGGCACGGAGAAGAAACGGCCGCGGTGAGCGCCGAAGCGGCGCCACGAGACTGGCGGCCTGGAGACCGAGGGTGGGGCGAGCACGGCCCCCCGGAGAGCAGCAGACGGCAGAGCCACAGGCAGATGTCACGAGCGGCGAGCGTGTCCGTGTCCACGCCCTCGCCGTGTGGGCTCCAGGGCGCGACCCTGGCGGACACGCGTGGCCGCACATATAGTTAGATTCCGCGCGGGGCATCCGCGAACAAGCGCCCCCCAGCCCGCGGGGCTGCGGACGCGGATCTGCTGCCTGCCCATGGCCAGGGAACGGTCACGGCACCCCCCCCGGGAGCACACGGCGAAGCCACACCACCTGGAGAACGAACACGCTCCTTGGCACGGCAGCGAGGGTCCTCGCCGCGCTCGGAGGCAGCAGTGGAGTGCATCGCGGGGCCGAGCTGGGCACGGGGGCGGCGGGAGGAAAGCCGACGCAAGAAGACGGAGACTCCGAGCCCCGCCTTCCTGCGTCGTATTTCCTCAGGGCCGGATCGATCCGTGAGCGTCCCCGGGGCCCGAAACGGAGCGAACACACCCGTCGTGGAAAAAAGGCAGCGACAGGATCTCAGGCGCGGCACCCGCGGGAGGAGCATCGGGGCGGGCGCCTGTCTCCTCGTCGCCGGCCGCGCGCGGCAGCCCGGGCGCCTGCCCCCCCCCCCCCCCCCCATCTTTGCCCGGGCAGGGAGGGGCACAGGCCTCCCCGGGCCTCCTCGCGTCCAGCTCTCCTCGCCATACCCCTCGCCCTCCTCGCCCTCCTCGCCCTCCACCTCCCTCCTCGTCTGCCTCCTCGTCCCACTCTCCTCCTCCCTGCCCCCTGGACCTTCCAGAATGCTAGGGGATGGCCCTCCAGACCTGTGGACCAAGCTGGGTTGCTTGTAAATGCGGCCTGAAATCTACATTCGCAGTCCTGGATTAGCCCTGAAAACGTGTAGAACTTTTCTTGCAACTTCGAGTGGAAATTGATGCAATTTCTGAAGGTCAGGTCTCCCCCCTTCCCTCCCTCCCTTCCCGCTCCGTTTGTTTGCTCGGCTGCCGCTTGCGCAGCCTCGCGGCAAAATCGGAAGACCAGTGCGGTCGACGCGCGCGCCTGGAGGAACAAACGAGGCAAGGGAAGCGGCCTCGATGGGGCAACCAATCCAGATGCAGCCTCGCCCGCCCGCGGAGGAATACGACTCTTCCTCCCTCCCTCCCTCCTCCGTCTCCGCTGTCCCCGCGCCGAAGGAGTGAGACGGACCCCAGAAGGGAACCGCCGTATTTACATCGGGTATTTGGACCCTGTCCCACGGGGTGTCGCAGAAACGGCAGAACGGAAACCGTCGTGAACTCTTCTGGTGTCTAAAACACCGGATCGCGAGGCGACAGAACCTTCTGGAAAGTCCTTCGAAGGAGCGTGGGAAACTCTAGGAAGGAGTTTCTGGCAAGCTTGAAGCTACACGCATTGGGAAACAATTATAAGAGGCCTGCCGGAACACGCAGCTGGCCCAAACAAGCTCCGCCGAGGCGTCCTGCCGGAAGTTGGCAAGAGCTCTGGGGCTACCTTATGGCCTTCAGAGAGCCAGCCAGCTGGGAGCGTTCCTGCAGAACCAGGTGTAGGAAACACGAACAACGCTTTCCTACAGTTGGGGTTGGCCACGAACCTCCCCCACCCGCAACACCGAAACCAACATCGCCGTTACAGTCCAGCCGCCGAGAGAAGTACCGCTGAATAAGGAACGCACCCCCCTCTTGGCCCTGAACGCGCCCCCGCGCCCCAGGAGGGCAAGAAAAACAACAAAAGAGGAACGTAAGGAACACCGAACACCTTCCGCACCCGAAGCGTTCCTCATTTTAGCGTCTTGGCGGCACTTTATGTTGCATCCTCGGGGACCTTGTCCTGTCCCATCGCGGCCATGTCCACGTCGAATCCGTGTCGAATCCATGTCGGCCTCGTCGGACCCGTGCCAAATCCGTGTTGACACGGCGTCGAACCACGCCAAATCCGCGTCGAGTCCGCATCGGGCGCAAGAAAAAACACCAATTTTGGGGGGCCAGGCGAATTCCCCAGGAGATGCAACATACATACTGCACCTACATCGCCGTTGGCGGTCCTGCGGCTCCTGGCCCCCGCCAGACCCCCCCAGGGCGTCGCAACACAGGCTGCGAGACGGCCGCCGAATCTTCCTTCGGTGGCAACTCATGGGGGCCTCCCATACCTTCTTGTCGGCTCTTGCGAATCGACGCTAAGCGACGCTGCATCGACGCGAATCGGCGCTAAATCGACGCTAGTCGACGCTAGCCGACGCCACACCGGCGCCATCTCATCGAATCCCAGACGCTGGTCGACGCTAGGACCCCATTCGGTTAATCGGGCCGGTCACGGGCGTGACCAGGGGGGTGCTTGAATCACCGCGTGGCTTGTGAAGTCCATCGCGGGGTTCTAAGAAGCTTGAGTGTGGTTAGCTTGGTTAGGTCAAGCTGGTTACGGGGGTTGCGTAAGCTAGTTGTGGTGAGGTTAACTTGAAGGGAATATTGGGGTTCATAACCTGGTTAACCTGGGGGCATAATCTGATTGGGGGAACCTCCATAACCTGGTTACGGGGGTGTGACTTCCAAGTCCTGGACACTCCAGAATCCGACTTTGCCTGCTGCGATTGTTAGGTCCTGAATTGCTGACTTTCAGATTCGATTCGTGATTGCCTGCACTGGATTTGCATGATGCCTTGCAAGAAAACAAGGTAGAAGAGAGGAGAGAGCAGCAGGAGCAGAAGCAAGGTTAGGAGGAGGAGGAGGAGGAGGGCGCGGAGGAGTGCGAAGAGGGTTACAGTGGGGGAAGGCGGAGGAAATGGAGTGACAGGATCATGCCTCCCTCAGGTTACCTCGCAGTGTCAGCCCGCAGCTTCAGCTTGGGAGGGAACTGGCACGTAGCAGCGCCTCCCTCCTTCGCGCCCCAAAAGATGTAAGGCTCAATCACGCAGTGGGTGTTTTCAACACTGGCCGAACGGATACCCGACATGTGCAACTGGTAACGGACATCTCAAGGACCTCCCGTGGCGACACAACAACCTTCAACACACCATCGTTTCTCAGGTGGATATAGACCCCTCCGGACCCAACGTGGCCTTCGGAAAAAAAAAAACGAACGATACGACATCCCCAATGTCAATGGACCTGCAATTGATGTAGCAGGCTCTTGTGCTCATGATCTCTGTGTTCAGAAATACTGGCATAGTCCGGGGTAGAGTTGACATCAATGTATCACTCGCGACTTTTGCCTCCACAAGATCTGCACCATTCAATGAATGAGATGTCAGAGCATGCAAATGATGGGCAGTAATGTCTTGAAGAACTCCCTTCTCAAAGCTCCGCGTGTTCCGCCGGTCCTGGCAGAGAGTTTGGCCATCCTGTGTTTTTTCTTTTGCAAAAAACAGGAGAGCAGAATCGACTGTCGTTGAAGCTGGCTGGGCAGGTGAAGAATCCAATGATATTTTGGCTTGACAGTCGAAGCTCCCCACACCGAGCGATGCTGAGTGATGTGCTCAAATATCGCATCCTGCAGCATCGCTGGTGCAACCAATCCTGAGTTTGCTATCTGGAGCAGACCGATGACCTTACACAGAGCAACCAATGACTCACACTCAGCAGCGCAGTCCACTTGGCAGAACAACCTTCTGGAACTAGTGCACCAGCACAGGCGCGAATGAAATTATATCCGAAGCACTGCCCATCCACTTTTTTTCTGAACAGGACGCGCTTCCGCTGTTGTAACCCTTCGGCAGTTGAAAATGACTGATGTATTCGTGCACCCGATCAAATCCCAAGTTGTGCTCATTCAGTTTCTCGAGGCAGGCTGTCGCTTCTCGGCTGAAGGTCCCATCCACGAGGTAGCGCATCCAGTCCCATGCGCGTTGTTCTCGTAGAGCGTGCGTAGGTCGCCCAGCACAGTGCCAGTGTAGGCCCAGGGCCGCGAAGGTCTGGTGGGCCCAACCAGCCCGTTCGCACGTGTTGAGCTCCCCTCCGATGTACCAGGCCTCGCGGTGCTGCGCCCCCCACGTCCTGACGATGGGCCCGCGCAGGGCTGGCCAGAGGCGCAGCTGCAGACATGTGGGAGCTATCAGCCTCCTGCCACCATCGGGCTCGGTTCGGAAGACGATGACCGACAGCCACTCAAGGTAGGCTGCGGGCGTGTCCCCCCGGCTGGCCCGAACCTCAATGAGCCCGCGCAGGAAGGGCTCGGCCACTAGGAGCAAGCGCCTCGGATGTAGCTGATCCCATCCCAAGCCCGCCCAGCGACCGCACCGCTTGAGCAGGAATCTGAGGTCGTCCACCTCGAGGTTGGGCAGCAGCTCAGAGGCGCCCCAGCCGGCATCTTCCTCGAGGCCACCCCTGCGGCGAGTGTCCAGCCAGAGGGGGGGCCACTCCTTGAGACAGTGCTCCACCGCCTCGTCGCCGTTGACGGGGGGTGCGAGGTCGTCGTCGTCAACGCTGACAAGGGCCGCCTTTGGCAGCGGCTCGGGCTTAGAAGCGGCGGGCGAGCTTCCCGCCGCCGCTGGCCGCGCCCTTGGCCCAGGCCTGCCACTGCTTGCAGGCGGCTGCTGCATCGTTGCGCTGGCTGGCCTGCTGCCGAGCCCGAGCGCGCTCGATGGCTGCGCCACCTGAGGTGGCCGCAATGGCCAGCTCGCACCTGCCCAGGGGGGCTTCGCTGCCGTCGCAGACGGGGATGCGCGTCGCGACGAGGCGACCGCGCAGGCTATGCAGGCTGTGGGGGTCCGCCCCTCTTGCCGCCAGCAGGTCGGCACGCTGCGTCAGGCTGACCAGGCCGCCCCAGGCGCGGGTGGCGCGCGAGCTGAACTGCGCCCAGCGGCAACGGGTGGCGTCGGCCAGCGGCGCCTTGACGAAGCGCACGCCCACGGCCCTGCTCGAGAACTTATTGGCCTCGTCACCGTGCAAGTCGAACAGCGGGAGAAGGTAGTCCTTGGCGCGCTGCAGCCATTCCTCCATGGCGGCCTGCGGACAGGGGGGGGGGGGGGCGAGCCCCCTCCCCAGGTTCAGTCGGGGAACGGGGCCCAGGGGAAGCAGCCAATGGCCCTGTCGTAGGGGAAGCGCGCCGTCCTGTGCAGCTGCTGGACGGCAGCATCGGCATGCAGACCTCTGACCTCGAGCAGCACTGGACTGCGGGGCCAAGTGGGGGCCTCGAGGACTGGCCCATGGTTGAACACGAACGGCCGGAGCTCGTCGGCGATGACCGCGAAATCGGGCTCCGTCAAGGCCCCCGCCCTGCAAGTAGCCGCTCCAGCGTGTAGTGCAAAACCTCCAGCCGACGCAGCCCACGTTGCGACCTGGAGTGGGTCCACGTTGAAATCCCCTGCTAGAACCCATGGCTGCGGGGCCACCCTGGGCCGCGACGCAATGCCTCAGAGGATGTCTCCGTTAGCCTCACTCATGTCCTCGCCATCGCGGAGGTACACAGACGCGAGGTCGATGGCGAGCCTGTCACCTAGGTTGACCACCCGGCTGAGTACGCGGTGAGGCTGCATGCACTTGGTGGCGAGCGCGGCGACAGCGAACTGCTGTCGAACCCCGATACCTACTTCACCTGAGACGGCCTGTGGCCCCTCGCCCGTGCTGAGCCCAGCTGCCAGGTCGAAGTCGATGCCGCGCTTACGACGCCAGCGCTGGACTCCCTCACGTCCGCCTTCACGAACCCGCGTCTCCTGGACGAAGGTGGTGTCGGCTGCTGGCCTCTGCGCTGGCCCCTCACCTTGGAGACCCTGCAGGCCATCCAACCAGCCGAGGAAACTCCTATAGGCCTTTTAGGTGGTGGCGTTGATCGTCTCTTGACGTGCTTCTCGAGAAGGTCGCTGATGGTCTTGCGGCGCTGCTCCCCCTCCTCGCCCTCGGGTGATTCTGCCATGAGGCTGCCGACGAGCTCGCCAGGGACATGGATGGACTCACCGCCTCGGCCTGCGCCGTCAGCGTCGCACGCGTGGCCATCCCCGCCGCTGCTGCCAGAGAATCACCAGCAGGTGCTTCAGGAGCGGCAGCCGCGTCGAGGGTCTCCTGCTCCTTTTTGACGGCATCCTGGAGCTGGGTGAGGTCCTGGAGGACAGCCTGACTGTCGACCGCCGTAGCCTTGAACTGCTCGAGCACCTTGGCCAAGCCTTTGAAGCCGTCCCCGAGCACCCCCGCTGCGTGGCGGGATTCGATCTCGGCGTCGGCGTTCTCCAGCTTGACCTTGAGCTCTGCGACGGACTCCTTGGCGTCGCTGATATGCTTGTCGAGCTTGGCGCGCTGCTCCTCGAGCTCGAGGACCTTGGCGAGCGCCTTCTGGTGCTGGCCCTCAAGCTTCTTATGTTGGCCCTGCAGGGCGGTGATGCTCTTCGGCTTGGGCGGCTCGGTGAACTTGGCCCCCGTTGCCTCGACGCAGCTCGTGGCTTGCTCTCCACCGCCCAGCTAGTTGAGCTCTGCCTTGAGGTCGCTGAGGGCGTCGGGCTTGGCTTGCCCACGCCCCACGAGGCTGCTGGTGGCTGCTCGGCTGCGGCCCGCCCCGGGTGACCTCGT